GAATTTAAGCTAACTGAAGTGCTTCAGTGGACTGTAGAATTAATAAATAAACAGCGATTCATTTATCCAAGATACGCCACGCCTTCGACATTCCCTCGAAAAGGCAAAGTTTTCCGGTGTTTGTTCAGTAGGTTCCGCAGACAGGCTTACATACTAGTCGACCAACCAGTGTGACTACTCGGCATCAAGTCCAACTTTTTAGATGATACACAAGTAATCGTTTTATGTTAGTGAGCGGTCTGCGATCATGACAAACTAATGAGGCCTTTCTCCTAAGATATTTCCCATGTGTCAAAAGTGGCAGAAAACGTGACCCTTTTCCCTTGAGCTTACTGTCAGTCAGACAGGGTGAACCGTCACGTTGCAGGAATTTCGAAAATTTTACGACCCCCCCCCTTTCTGGAGGGCCTCGATACGACCCCCAGGATTAACCCTACCGTTGGTACTTTTGGAATTTTTCACGACCCCCTACCACCATGAGACTCAGGAGGTCCACCAATAACGACCACCACCCTTACCATCAGAGCTGTTACTATAGTATTTGATTCTGAGACCAGTTGACACAGCCCAACTCCACCCACATTTCCTAAAAATGGCCGTCGAGCCGGAAGGGGGTTATATAAGCATGGCTCTTCCCCTCCCCTACATGGCTCCATCGTCCTAAACATCGTGAGGTCGTACCGCATAGTGAGATTCGTGTGACTGTGACTTATTTTGAGTATCGGTAGCGAACGGACCACTTTTGTGTGCACAACCCCCGGTTTAACGTGTTCCCTTCGTCGTCGTGGTGTTCGCCGCGGTAGGTGATTGCGCCGGCGACGCGACGGTCGTCGTCGCTTCGCGGCGTGCGCTCGCTGGTCTCTCTGGAAATCAATCGATATCGGCAACGGTTGCGTTCTGCGGTGGTGTCAGCGGCGGCGGTAGTGGCGGTCCGTTCGTACCCCCCGCACACACAACGACGACGACGACGACGGGTCATCTCTCGATACCACACAACTGTGCACTGCTATTTCGTCCATCATAAGTTTCCCCGTTCTCACCTTCCCAAATGGTCATCACCAGCACAGTTCGTTCCTCACTGGGGTTTTAACTGTAAGCATTACGTGTCAGAAATCTTGACGTTCAATCCGGATTGGTTCCAGCACCTCCACCACTTCATTCTGAATGTGGTTACTTTCAGGGAAACGCAAGTATTTGATAGATGGTAGTGCTGTCTCGGGAACTCTTTCCACGTCGACGTCTACACCATCATGGCTATGGTCAAGTACTGGGGTGACGAAAAGCACGCGGTATATTTTCTCAGTCTGTTTGCTAACGAATATTTGCTAATCCTTCATGATCGCTTGGTTCTTTACGTTTATCGGCGCACGTTTTTTGCCGAGATTCACGAAGTTGTACTGACAGACTTGTCCTTTTTGTGCAGCCATCTGCGCAATCACCTTCCCTCCCTCTTAGTTTGTTTAATCGCTAACGTTCCTGGAATCAGTTTTTTTATTAGTCTTGTTTATGTGCAGCCGTCTTCACCCGCGCTGTCGCTTGTAAGTCGTGCGAGGGTTCGCTAGGACCGAAAGCGACTTTTCCCTTTCGCGCCGCGGACATTTTTTCGTTGTTGGAATCCCAGTCACCCTTTATCATAACTGGCCATGGCGCGCGACGGCGCCGTTTTTCAAGCGTGATGGGACTAAGGCTGAGCTTATGAAGGAGTGGGTAAGCTGTGAACATTATGATTTGTGATTGACTTTTGGCACATTTGAGCCTCCTTCTAGGCTCAGGCTCAGTGCCATTGCGTTTGACAGACGCCGCGCCGCCGCGCGGTGTCCCTAACTCACTTAGCACTGTTTCGCTGGCGGAAAGCTTTCTGTCGAGCGAACCACACAAGTCGTGCCGTAATTATGGGATTGCCCCGCCTCGGCTCAGACATGGTTTTGATTTCCCTTACTTGAGTTCACGGGTCGGTTGTCCGACGGCGGGACATCTGCTGACGTGAACTGTTCGCGCTGGTACTAACAGAGAAGAACATGTTAGGACCTGACATACAGACTCTCGCTCTCGACACTTAACAACACAAGACATGTCAAGGCCGTAGTACCTGACATGTTCTGTTTTGTCTACACTTGAGAGCAACGTAGGCTTTACAGTTCTTAACACTGTGTTCAATAAGATGTTCTTGAAGCTTTAGTTCTTATATTGATTGATGAGCTTTCGGCAATAAT